TATATATATAATTTGGATCAAATAAATGCAATATTTGATATCAATATTTCCGATCCCAATTTTCGAATTAAGATATGATGGATATTAATTTAGATAAACAACCCTATCAGTCCATTTCTCACTAATTCGAACCAAGACATCAAAACTCAATAAATATAGAGGGAATTGAACGAAAGCTGGAGTAGCAGTTCGCAGTGAATAGTTGAACATGTTTATTCTTTAATAATGTATTTTTTATTTTTTATTTTTACTTTTCCTTAGAGTAATGGTATTTAAAATAAATTTACCGATCTAATTTTTCGTTATGGTCAGATTAACATTGACTTCCATTATGAGATGTCATCCACTGTCAATAACAAACAAATTAAATTAATCAATTAAATTTAAATAATATTATTGATAAATTTAGCAGCTAACGCCGAGATTTTAAACAAAACATAAATTACCAGCAAGCATATGCGTGGTTCAATTGGATCGAGAGAAAACTTTCTTAGTCGTGCTGCCTCTTACAGATTTAATTATTTTTTGGGCATATTATTTGGATAAACAATCTAACCCGATTCAATGGGCAGAAGATGAGGGCAGTTGTTTTCTGACAAATAGTATTGAAATTTATGCCATTGCCGAACCTACTCCTCCCGGAATCCTTTATTCGGGAGTAAAAAAGTTGTTAATAGTAATTTCCATATCCATTGTGGGCCCTTGTTTGGTACTATAAGGGGAAATGATTTATTGGTCGTAGATCTCTGATTGGTTTATTTGTGACCTTTGATTATAAAAATATAAACTAAAGAAAAAAAAATGGCCTAATGTATGAGGTTCCCGGTTCCCGGTTCCCGGTTCCCATCACTATGGGGCTTGAAAACGGTCATATGTACTAAGCCTTATAGAGAAACTATTTTCTCAATTCGAACACTTACTACCTAGGTCAGAATAAAATAACTTTATCATTATATCAAGACTCACCTACTTAAAATATAAACTAAAATAAAATAATAAATCGAAGAATTTTACATAGTTCACATTTTCATTGGTTACAAAAAAAAAAAGATGTATATTACTGAAAAATAAGTTTTTAGTATCATCGTTAGGAGTAAATTTGAATGTAACAATTATACCAAATCAAGAATGTCACATGGTCTCATCGTCAATGAATCATATTTCTTCATATGGGTAATTATTGAATCTTGTTGTTCAATTGCCTACTTGTTTTTTTATAATTAAACCTCGTGACATTGCGACCCCGGCTACATTTAATATTTTGGAGACTTTTGAGTACCAATAGTTTTTTTGTTTTGGTGTCCTGCTCTATATAAAGGCAAGATTGCAGAGACATGGACAGCACAAAAAATTCAGTCATGGCAGCTGTGGGCTATCTGGCTCTATGTCTTCTTGTTCTTGCTACTTCTGTCAAAGCTTTTACTGAAATTGAAACTGGTCTTCCATGGCCTCTTCCAATAATTTCATGTGAATGTGATCCCCATAATGAGCTCAACCGTGGCAGTTTTCCACGTGGATTTGTATTTGGTGCATCATCATCTGCTTATCAGGTAATTAGTTGTGTCCTTTTTGCTATTCATCATGATTTAATTTAAGTGCTCCTCCTTATTGTGTGGTGAAGCTTGTTTAATCATTTGTGTTTTTCAGTATGAAGGTGCATATAATGAGGGAGGTAAAGGCCCACATATATGGGATACTTTTACAGAGAAAAATCCAGGTCTCTCTCTCCCTCTCTAAAATAACAAAGCCTGCAAACTATAGACTTTAAAAAGAAATCCCTCTCTCTCTCTCTGAGTGATGCAGGGTAATGTGAATAAAAAAACGAGATTAAACAACAGAAATATCAACTGTTAATTATTGTAATAATACCAAATTAAAGCCTTCAACAATTTGATTCACGAAAAATACCAAATTAATTGGAAGAAAAAGTTCTTTGTTTTGAGTGGTAGCATGCATATATAACAAGTTCTTTGTTTTGGTGGTTAACAATATGTTGATATAATACTTTGAAGAAATTTGAGCAAGTTGAGGAGATGTGAAGTCCTTCCATGGTATTGCAGGTGCAGTAGCCGATGGTAGTAATGGACAAATAGCTGCTGATTCTTATCATCGCTACAAGGTGAAAAAGTGTTCTAAACTTCGTTCTAGTTCCTTCTAATAATTGGAAATTTTTTAGTAATCTTTTGAATCCTGTTGCAGGAAGATGTGGAGGCCATAAAGTTCATGGGTTTAGATGCCTATAGATTGTCAATCGAATGGTCCAGAATATTGCCAAGTAAGCACAGATTTTCACTGCATTTTTGAGCATTTAGGAATGAAAGTAGGGCTATCCATTACTTGTGTTAAGAGTGTTAATCGAATCTAAGCTTTATGAGTTTGAACTTAAGTTTGTCAAGCTTATTTTTTCTAAACAAATTTAATTTTTTTTTTTCAAACACGGCTTATTTAGAAAATGAGTCAAACCCAAGTAGTCAGACTATTTTACATATAAACGAGTTGAGTTTTACAAATTTGAGTGAATTTTTTTAGGCTCATTAGTCAAAAAAAAAAAATTATTCAATCTCAGCTCATTTAAAACAGGAGTTAAGCTCGATCCGAGTCCTATCTGAGTTGAGCCAAAATACTCGTCTCGATTAACACCCCTAACTTGTGTTGTAAATTAGATTCATATAGTGTCCAAGACTTATCATGTTAACCAATTTGTGTTAAGTTCGTAGTGACTTATTTATTTAGCGAATCTGGGAAATCAATCCGGTTATNGGACAGCACAAAAAATTCAGTCATGGCAGCTGTGGGCTATCTGGCTCTATGTCTTATTGTTCTTGCTACTTCTGTCAAAGCTTTTACTGAAATTGAAACTGGCCNCAGTCATGGCAGCTGTGGGCTATCTGGCTCTATGTCTTATTGTTCTTGCTACTTCTGTCAAAGCTTTTACTGAAATTGAAACTGGCCTTCCATGGCCTCTTCCAATAATTTCATGTGAATGTGATCCCCATAATGAGCTCAACCGTGGCAGTTTTCCACGTGGATTTGTATTTGGTGCATCATCATCTGCTTATCAGGTAATTAGTTGCGTCCTTTTTGCTATTCATCATGATTTAATTTAAGTGCTCCTCCTTTTTGTGTGGTGAATCTTGTTTAATCATTTGTGTTTTTCAGTATGAAGGTGCATATAATGAGGGAGGTAAAGGCCCACATATATGGGATACTTTTACAGAGAAAAATCCAGGTCTCTCTCTCCCTCTCTAAAATAACAAAGCCTGCAAACTATAGACTTTAAAAAGAAATCCCTCTCTCTCTCTCTGAGTGATGCAGGATAATGTGAATAAAAAAACGAGATTAAACAACAGAAATATCAACTGTTAATTATTGTAATAATACCAAATTAAAGCCTTCAACAATTTGATTCACGAAAAATACCAAATTAATTGGAAGAAAAAGTTCTTTGTTTTGAGTGGTAGCATGCATATATAACAAGTTCTTTGTTTTGGTGGTTAACAATATGTTGATATAATACTTTGAAGAAATTTGAGCAAGTTGAGGAGATGTGAAGTCCTTCCATGGTATTGCAGGTGCAGTAGCCGATGGTAGTAATGGACAAATAGCTGCTGATTCTTATCATCGCTACAAGGTGAAAAAGTGTTCTAAACTTCGTTCTAGTTCCTTCTAATAATTGGAAATTTTTTAGTAATCTTTTGAATCCTGTTGCAGGAAGATGTGGAGGCCATAAAGTTCATGGGTTTAGATGCCTATAGATTGTCAATCGAATGGTCCAGAATATTGCCAAGTAAGCACAGATTTTCACTGCATTTTTGAGCATTTAGGAATGAAAGTAGGGCTATCCATTACTTGTGTTAAGAGTGTTAATCGAATCTAAGCTTTATGAGTTTGAACTTAAGTTTGTCAAGCTTATTTTTTCTAAACAAATTTAATTTTTTTTTTTCAAACACGGCTTATTTAGAAAATGAGTCAAACCCAAGTAGTCAGACTATTTTACATATAAACGAGTTGAGTTTTACAAATTTGAGTGAATTTTTTTAGGCTCATTAGTCAAAAAAAAAAAATTATTCAATCTCAGCTCATTTAAAACAGGAGTTAAGCTCGATCCGAGTCCTATCTGAGTTGAGCCAAAATACTCGTCTCGATTAACACCCCTAACTTGTGTTGTAAATTAGATTCATATAGTGTCCAAGACTTATCATGTTAACCAATTTGTGTTAAGTTCGTAGTGACTTATTTATTTAGCGAATCTGGGAAATCAATCCGGTTATGACCCGAAAATAATGCAATGAGCCTCAGGTGGAAAGTCAAATGGTGGTCGAGGTGTGAACCATAAAGGAATAGAGCACTACAAAAAACTCATACATGATCTCAAAGAGAACGGTTTATGATTCTCTCTCTCTCTCTCTCTCTCTCTCTCCGCCGTTGATTTACATTTCATTCTATTTAGTTCGTGCAATAATGTTAATCTTAATTACATGCACGCAGGTATAGAGCCTTTTGTGAATCTCTTCCACTTTACTGTTCCCCAACCCTTACAAGATGAGTACGGTGGTTTTCTAAATCGTCAAATTGTGTAAGTGACTTAAAATTCTTTGGACAAAGTGTATTTTATAAATTTGGTCTTTATTGTAGCAATTTTGTTAATTTGATCATAATCATATTTGAATGGTTCCAACCTAAACAGACCGTTAAGTTTTTTTACTAAAATAATCACTTAACTGGTACATGATTATCTGAAAAGATGACACGTGGTCACTTTTGTTAAAGAACTTAATAGACTATCAATATTGGGACTTTTTAAACACTAATTTCATATTTGATAGACCAAATTGATAAAAGTAATACACTGAAGACCAAATTGACAAGTGCCGCATGTTTTAAGGACTAAAAGTGCACTCTTTTGGCCTTCAATTTCTTCTTGTACACTTTTACTCAATGATTAATCATTTATCATGAGTTCAAGTAAGACCCATTTTATAAATGAATCCCTACAAATACATGGTGAATTAATATGGATTTTACTTTGGAAGAGAAATAGAGAGCGAGCGAGAGGAGTGTGTGTGTGTGTGTGGCAGTGGCGTTATGGCAACTGGGAGAAGAGAGAGAGGGAGAGACCGATAAGTATGGGAGATATGTATTTAGAGTATGAGTGTAGAGTCTGAGAGATAGAGTGAGAGATGTACAAGTATTGGAGAGAGATATTGTTTTTGAATTTTAAAAGTCTGAGAGATGGGAGTACGAGAGTTATAAGAGAGATCTGAGTCTTAGAGTTGTAAAAAGAATGAAAGTGTCTTCCTTAAACAATTCGATCAATCAGGACCATCAGATGATTAATCTTAAACCGATTTTAATCTCGAAAAATTAAAGACAAACAATGTTGGCTCTCACATACACTCAATGCACACGCGCACACACAAAGTGAGAAATAGCGGGAGAACACATACACACACAAAACACAGAAAAACACACACACAAAATGCACAGAGAGAGAGAGAGATAGAGAAATATCGTAATTGAGGGAGAGTGAGAGGCTAATCACTAACTTCAGCTGTGACCAGCATCAGCGTGTGTGTGTGTTAGGGGTGTAGGTAGATATAGAAAAGGAGGGAGAAGGCAAGTTAGAGATTTTTCCTATGGGTGAATGCATCAGATAGGTAAAAGAGAAAGAAAGAGAGATAGATATAATAGAGAGTGAGAAAGTGTGTGTTTAAATTTTAAAACATCTGAGAGGTGAGAGTATAAGATAGATAGAAAGAGTTATATGAGAGATAAACGTCTGAGAGATGGAAGCATGAGTTATACAGAGGAAAATAGTGTGTGTTTGAATTTTAAAACGTCTAAGAGATGGGAGTATAATATATATATATATAAAGAGAGAGAGAGAGAGAGAGAGAGAGACGTCTAAGAGATGGGAGTATAAGATATAGGGAAAGATAGATAGTGTGCGTTTGAATTTTAAAACGTCTGAGAGATGGGAGTATGAGAGTTATATAAGAAATGAGAGTGCTAGAATGGTAAAAAGAATGAAAATCTCTTCATTAAACAATGTAATCAATTAGGACTACCAGACGATTAATCTCAAAATGATCTCAACCACAAAAAACTAAAGACAAATAATAATTATATTCTTTGAACCTAATCATCTGGCCTATATCTTCTGGGGGATGAACTGAGATTTCACTATTATAATGTGCTCAACAGGAAAGATTTTCAAGACTTTGCAGAGGTTTGCTTTAAGGAATTTGGTCCGTCGGTGAAACATTGGACCACATTTAATGAGCCAAAAATGTTAAGCCAGATGGGGTATGGCAGAGGCACTTGGGCACCGGGTAGATGTTCTGGTTGCACCAACGGCGGAGACCCGGGCACTGAGCCATACATGGTCACACACCACGAACTCCTTGCTCATGCAGCTGTAGTCAAATTGTACAAGGATCATTTCCAGGTCAGATCAGTACATCCTACACCACTACAGTGATTTATTGTTAGGGTGGGTCTAACAAAAGAAATTGTACATTCCAAGTTCGACTCCCATTGGATAAAAACATAATGAGTTTAACCGGTGCATGTAATTTACGAGTGATTGAGTGTTTGTGCCTTACGATGCTACCATTATCTCAAATGACACGTGACTAAAATGATCCACAATTAAATCAAATACTAGGACCCACAAATACTGGGATCCACAATTAAATCAAATATTGGGACCCACAATTAAATCAATGACAAATATAACATTCATATCATCAAGTCGGATAATGGGTCCCAAGAATGGCATGATTTTTTTTATATGTAATTATTTCTATGCTAGTATATACATACATACACATATCTTTCCTATATCTTGCAGAAAGAGCAAAGGGGGGAGATCGGAATTATACTGGATTCATTTTGGATGGTACCTTACTCCAATAGTGAGGAAGACAAAGCAGCAGCATCTCGAGCCCTCGATTTCGGATACGGATGGTAATTTTATATATCTCTTTGTCTTATACATTATCCGTTCATTATTAACTTTCTCACATTGTATCTTCAACAATGTTTATTTGTACCCACTTTATACGTTGGATTCATATTTTTCAAGAAAACATAACGGGCATTTGGTTTTGAGATAACGTCAATCAATGCAAATAGTTGAGGAAAAATTTAAGAAACTCCATAATTGAAAATTTTAGATCATGCTAGAGTCATAGTCGTTGGAAAAATTTAAGAAACTCTACAGTTGAAAATTCAAGATCAGACCAGAGTCATAGTCGAGGAGATCAAAGTGAAGTACTTTTTTCCCTAACATTTATTTGTGGTTTTCTATTTCAGGTTTATGGACCCATTGACATATGGACACTATCCGAAAAGCATGCAAGATCTTGTAGGAGAAAGACTACCCAAATTCTCACCAGAAGAATCCCATATGATAATTGGGTCATTTGATTTTATAGGAATAAACTATTATACTGCTAACTATGCAAAGCATGCTCCTTCTAATGCTAATACGCCTCCAAGTTACCTTGCAGATTCCCAAGTTAATCTTACAAGTAAGTTTTAATATGTTTCAACTCATCTTATAGTATTCAATGTTTTAATATTAATTTTATCTTTTCGGAAAAAAATACCTAATTTATGAATATTGTTGATTATAATATTTTGTAGGGGATCGTAACGGGGTTCTCATTGGTCCACAAGTATGGTCTACTTGCTTTCTTTTATTGTGTTTCCTATTTAGATAACAATCAAATAATTTGCGTTATAATGTTAAATTTATGTTCTAAATTGATGTGGTTGGTAAAGGGATAATATTTTTTTTCCCATTTTTTTGATACTAAATTACTTGGCATCTCTTGATTGTTGAACCATTTTAAAACAATAAGTTCCACTTGAATTTAAAGTAGATTATTTAGCATTGAAATAAAATGTATTGGTATTAATCTTAATCCATGTTATAGGAGGAGTAGTTAATAGCTTAAGAGTTTGAAAAATGTTTCAAATGTTCATTTCCCTTTGTTTTTTGTTTTCTTTTTTAATAATTTTTTTTGGTTCAACGATCAGTGGTATCTGGGTCAGTTTACATACATCTCGATTAATTTCCTTTTTGACCCGTCAAAGGCAAGCCCTCCACCCCGGAATTAGGATACTCATGAAAGATAAATTCCTCATGGTCTGACCCTAAGGGATAGTCAAAATTCAAACTCAGGACGTCTGAATTTATAGCTAGTTAAAATAGCGCTAGTTTTGCATTTTTTTTTTTTTTGAATTTTTTCTTATCTGGATTTGCTCTCCTACCCCAAATTTTATATTTTTTCTTAAAAATTATTTTTTTAAAAGAATTATTTTGATAAAACAAAAATAATTAAAAAAACATTATTAAAATTAATTGAAAATTAAAATTAAGAAGTTTTATAAACATGGGGGGTGGTTTCTGCATTATTTTAGTGTAATAAATCGATGTAAATCTAATTCTCAATCTTTATTTATTTCAATATTGTTTTGCAGTCTGGTACACCATGGCTCTACGTTTATCCGCCGGGGATTCTTAATCTTCTACGCTACACAAAGGAAAAATATAAAAATCCTCCTATCTACATTACTGAGAATGGTACGTAATTGGATCATATTCGATATTTTTCAGATTTATATCATTTTTAATACATTTTTTCTCAATTTTATTTAATTGAAACTCACCCATTATATATAACTAAAAAAGAACCACTTAAATTAGGATTTGACTTTAATACCGGATGAAGTATTACACTCAACTTTGGACTTGACTACGGTACCGAAAAAAAATATTCAGTTTCGTACTAGCAAATTTTACTATTTTAATTTGTGTTTTTATAATTTTTATGGGTCATTTTATAATAAAAAAATCTATCATTTTTATGAGTGATTTATCATTTTTGTGGGTATTTTTATCACTGTTGTGATAAATATTTTTTATCACTTTTTAGGCATCATAACAGTGATAAAAATACCCAAAATAATAATAAAAATTTTTACAAAAATAATAAATATCGGTTCGGAACCGAATTTTTCTTTCTTTCTAATACCATGGACAACTCCCTCAATTTTATGACATTTATTTTCTAAAGTTAATTTTTTGGTGTCATGTTGCAGCAAAAACATGTTAGTGTCGATTATTAAGAAAAAAACTTNAATACCATGGACAACTCCCTCAATTTTATGACATTTATTTTCTAAAGTTAATTTTTTGGTGTCAAGTTGCAGCAAAAACATGTTAGTGTCGATTAAGAAAAAAAACTTTTAGGAATAATTTATACTTTTTTATGAATCAATCACAATTTTTTCAGGGTTTTTCAAGAGCGATGGCAAATACCCAAAAAGTTGTAAAAGGCTTCTTAAAAATTGCTATAATGACCCTTAAAAAGTTATACATAACGATATAGTACTGAATATTTTTATTTATTTATTTTTTATTTTGTGGTTGTGCCCTAGAATTCTTCCATTAATTAACATGAAAGGTTATCCATTGTTTTTGTAGGAGTTGGGGCTGCGTTTAATGAGTCAACAACGTTTTTGGATGCCATTACCGACAAGGAGAGGGTAGATTACCATCATGAACATCTTTGTTTTGTTCGTCTAGCAATGAAGTATGTTTTTAAACAATCTCTCTCTCTCTTTAGCTTGTCAATAGATAAACATAAAGATGAAGATAAAGATTAATCGATATGTGCATGAACTGATTTGAATATTTTCAATCGTTGAATCAAAATAAAAAAAATAGATAAAAATTGTGATCTAAATCCATTTAATTGGAGATATGAATTGTATTTTTGATCTATTATCTAAATTTGAATTAGAATCTTTCATATGAAATTTAATTATGATTCAATCTGAGGTATATCTACGTCTAGAAATATCTGATGAAATCCAATGACTTTTATATAAAAGTGAGTTGAAATTCAAATCTAGTTTTTAAAAATTTAACTTTAAGTGAGTTATTTGGATCAGACGGATCTGATTTTCGATCTTTCTTAAATTAAACTCGGATTTGAATTGACTAAAATCTAATCACTTATAGCTCTATTCTCATGTATATAATCCAACAAATTTTTTAATGATGTAAATTGGAATATTAACTTAATAAACAGTGTAAACTTGTAAAAAGTAGAACAGTTCGAACCTAAAGCAATGACAAATGATCATCCATTTAAAGTAATGTGTCACATTTGGATATTACAACCTAAAAAATGAGTGTAAGTTTGCATATTAATTATTGGGTTAATAACACTTTTGATCCCCTAAAATATGTATTTTTGTCAATTTAGTCATTATTATATCAATTTTAGAAATTTAGTTTTTATACTATTCAATTCGTGTCATTTTAATCTCTAAATGGAGGGACTGCTAAGTTTTTAACAAAATGATAGCGTGTTGGGCACGTCACACCATTTAAAAAAATGGGTTGAATTTCACTTTGTATTCTAAAAGATTTTAAGATTCCCATTTTGTACCCTCAAAGATTAATTTTTTTGACATTGCACATTAAATATATCAAATGTGTTTTTTTGCAATGTCGCATTTTTGTTAGCTTTCCGTTAGTTTTTTTGTCCGTATCAATGGGTTGACTTTTGACGGAAAAAATAACGAAAGCGAACAGAATGACAACATTGTAATACTTTTGATATATTGAGAGTGCAATGTGAAAAATTTAATATTTAAATATGCAAAATGAGAATCTTGAAATTTTTCAAGGAACAAAGTGCAAAAAGCCCAAAAAAATGTCACGTGATCAAATCCGTCAAAAAAAATTTGACAAGTTGTTTAATTAATTATCAAAATGACATGAATTAAATACTTTAGAATCAAATTAACAAAATTGATACAATGAAAACTAAACTAACAAAAAATATATATTTTATGGATCAAAAGTTCTATTAACCCTTAAATGTTCGTCTCTCTTAGACTCGGTTCTTTATTGGTGCAATCTTATACATTTGTATACAACCCCACCTCTTTGTGATAGATGGATATTCATATTCATAGTATTTTTTTTTTATCATGAATTACTAAATTTATGATTTTTGTGGTTTGTTTTGTAGTCCTCGCAAGCACGGTGTCAATGTTAAAGGATACTTTGTGTGGTCATTGCTGGATGTTTTTGAATGGAACTCTGGTTTCACTACACGATTTGGAACACACTACGTGGATTATGAAGATGGTTCATTGACAAGATATCCCAAACTCTCAGCCATATGGTTTAAGAAATTTCTACAAAGAAGTAGATTGGTGCCGGTGCCACTGCCACTGCCACTGCCACTCCCAAAACAAATAAGCTCAAAGTTTGACGAGCTTTAGCGTTTTTATATACTCTATTAAGAAAAATATATAAATCTGCTATATCGAGTCTAGTAATAAAATAAGTGAGGCAAATGGTATTTTACACCCAAAAAAAATTTATCATTTTTATTTTTGCTTATTCAAGAATTAAAGAATCTCACTTTTGCATTCAAAATTTGTTTTTAACAGTGGTAGCAAAGCAATGTGTCCCAATGATATGTTAGAATTTTAATGTTGTCTTTTTTTGGGGGCACAAGTTACTATTTTTAAAAAAAACCAGGATGCAATGTGAGATTTTTAATTATTGAGTTGTAAAATAAAAATTTGAAATCTTTCAAGGGGTGAAGTGTCATTAGCCTTAATAAGTGAGAGAAATTATTCTCTTCTTCTCCGATAATGTTAATTATATGTATGTGTTGTAACCGAACTTTTATGGGTGAGTGTGATTAATAAAGTTAGAGAAAATCCTTCTCTTCCTTCTTCAATAATATCTAAAATACTTCTGTATGGTTGTTGTGCAATGTATTACTTTTTTTTTTTTCTTTTTTCTATTACACCCATATTATTTTAAAGTGTTTATTATTATGGGAGAATTCGAGAAATGTTATGATGCCCAATTTATTTCCTTAAAAACCCATCCCAATTATATTACGAGTCTGATACCTCACATTCAGGGGTGGAGTCAGAAAATTGTGTCAGAGTGGGCACGAATATTTTAACAAATTAATTTTTTTTCTTACAATCGATAAAAATAGGACAATAATTTATATTTAATTACATCATATTTAATACTTAAAAGTTTATTAAACTCAACATACCAAAATTTGGTAAGCCTAGTATATACAAACGGCAATATTTTTTTTTTTTACAAAATATAGTCTAATTAAAATCATTTAAAATTGACTTCGGTGAATTTTCGTACTTTGAAACCGTTGCATAACAACTTTATTATTCTTTATATACACATTCATGTTATCAATTTGGTATTTATAATTCATTCGATTGATTATTCAATTCAATGTGCACTCTATAGTTTCCACTATAATTAGCAAAAATAAATGTCAAAATCAAAAATAAACTAATGAATATAAATAAATATATATATATATATATATATCATGTCTTTTTAGTCTTAGAAAGTATAAAATATTTATTGTATATTCAAAATTTATCTAGATAGATACATAATCTGTTTAAAATGTGTCAAAAAATTCATATTCATTTGATATAAGTGTACACTAATTGATGTGCCAAAAAAACATAGTGGACATAATTATAAATATTGAAGAAATACTTAAAATACATATAGATAATGTTAAGAAAAATTGATATGTTAGAATTTTAGTGTTGTCTTGTTCTTGGAGCACAACCTACTATATTGAAAAATTTTAGGATGCAATGTGAGATTTTTAATTATTGAGTGGTAAAATAAAAAATTTAAGTCTTTCAAGGGGTGAAGTGTCATTAGCCTTACTAAGTGAGAGAAATTATTCTCTTCTTCTCCAATAATGTTAATTATATGTATGTGTTGTAACTGAACTTTTATGGGTGAGTGTGATTAATAAAAGAGAAAATCCTTCTCTTCCCTCTTCAATAATATCTAAAATACTTCTGTATGGTTGTTGTGCAATGTATTACCTTTTTTTTTTCCTTTTTCTATTACACACCCATATTATTTTAAAGTGTTTATTATTATGGGAGAATTCAAGAAATGTTATGATCCCCAATTTATTTCCTAAAAAACCCATCCCAATTATATTACTAGTCTGATACCTCACATTCAGGGGAGGAGTCAGAAAATTATGTAAGAGTGGGCACGAATATTTCAACAAATTAATTTTTTTTCTTACAATAGATAAAAATAGGACCATAATTTATATTTAATTACATCATATTTAATACTTAAAAATTTATTAAACCCAACATACCAAAATTTGGTAAGCCTAGTATATACAAACGGCAATATTTTTTTTTTTTACAAAATATAGTCTAATTAAAATTATTTAGAATTGACTTCGGTAAATTTTCGTTCTTTGAAACCGTTGGATAACAACTTTATTATTTTTTATATACACAATCATGTTATTACTTTGGTATTTATAATTCATTCGATCAATTATGCAATTCAATGTGCACTCCATAGTTTTCACCATAATTAGCAAAAATAGATGTCAAAATAACAAATAAACTAATGAATATATATATATATATATATATATATATATATATATATATATATATCATGTCTTTTTTAGTCTTAGAAAGTATAACATATTTCTAGTATATTCAAAATTTATCTAGATAGATACATAATTTGTTCAAAATGAGTCAAAAAATTCGTATTCATTTGATATAAGTGTACACTAATTGATGTGCCAAAAAAATAAGGTGCATAATTATAAGTATTGAAGAAATACTTAAAATCAATATAGATAATGTTAAATAAAAACATTTGAGGGTGGACATGTGCCCCAAGCATATGCTGACTACACCCATGCTCACATTCGATAAAAAACAACTGATTTATTGGGTCCCATAAAGTGTTGTGCGAAGGTGTCAACTCCGTGAATTTTTTGGGTTACAAGTTTGGCAACATAGTATTTCTATTAGGGTTAATTACAAAATGTCCCTCCGAGTTTGGGTCATATTTCAATAAACTCCTCATGGTTTTAATTTCAACAATCTACCCCTTCAAGTTTCTTTAGACTTAAATTAACTGAGAATCCTAAAATACCTCATTAATTCTATTTTTTATCTCTTCTTTGTACCTAACCCATTTTCGCATGCTTTGGTGAGCCTCCAACCCCCTTCCTATACTTCGGCGATGACTCCAACCCCAATCTCTTGCTCCGGCAGTCCTCCAACTCCCATCTTTTGCTCCAGCATTCCCCCCATCCCCAAACCCTTGCTCCATCGGTTCCCTTGAACCCCCACCCCCATACCCAATGTCGACAATACCCCAAAACCCACCTCTTAAAAAAATAAATAAATAAAACTTATCCATACACTTCCAATCTCCACTTTTACTAAGTAACCCTTGCACACCCCTCCATGAATAGCAACCTAAGTAATCCAGTTTTGAAGGTCATGTTTGAAGTTCCTTTGCCATTTATAGCTTTTTCATTCACCGGTCATCCGAACAAACTTGAGGTAGTGGAGGAAGCTCTTGTCGCAATCGCATCGATAGACCTCTGAACTATGCCTAGGGTGTTCTCCATTGGCATCAATTTTTCACACGAGTTTAGGATTAATTGAAACTTTGAGGTTTTTTAGGGTTTCGATTTTCACTGGCTATGGATAGGTTTCGGTTTCACCAAAGGGAGAAGGAGTGGATAATCACCGATTGAGAGAAGGTTGGGTTTTATCGGTTTTTGACTTGTTTGATGAGTTTTTGCACTTTTGCTTGTGGAGGGTTGAATTGTATTTGAATTGAAGGGTATATATGTCTTTTAATGGTGTTAATGTTGACTTCTATCAATTTAGACGATCAAAAATAACGACAATGGGGTGATTGAGATATGTTTAAACTTGAAGGGTCAGATTGTCGAAATTAAAACCACGAAAAGCTAATTGAAACATGACCCAAATTTGGAGGAGATATTTTGTAATTAACCCTTTCTATTATTATGGATGTACAATCGACAGGAAGGCGGTAGTATAGAAGACAATATCTTACTTCCATCAATCTCAACTGTTGATTTTAAATTGAATGATTATACAGATTATGCATTCTTATCCATTTAAAAGTGAAAGTATGATACAAAAATAATATTTTTTTATACCCTGATCTACAATCAGATTGTAAAGGCTGGCAAGTCTCTCTGTGCCAGCTCCAATTTTTTTTTTTTTTTGTCAGATATGATTACAGGAAAAAGGAAATGATGAACCCCAAAATAACTGATGCAATATAACGAATGAATTTTAAATTTAGACGTCTTGATTCTTAAATTTAAATTTTGATAATTATTTGGAATCAAATTATGACAGATTTATCTTTCATGAATATTTTAGTCTCGTCGTAAATAACTTGTCTTTGACCAAAAAATCAATTGAAATGAATATAAATTAGGCCAAATATTCCTGACCGTCGAATAAAAAAATGATATGATTAAAACTCACAAACTTAAAATCTAAAAATAGAAATAATGATCGTTAGATCAACAGCAAATCTCTGCGTCGCAGCTCAATACAGAAAAGGTGCACCTTCCCGGATGCTTCATTAGTTTCCTTTACTTGGGCAAAAATGCCAAACTCAACACCCAACTTCCAGATATTCCCACTCTATGCTTGCCTAGTCATTCGTATAACCGTTTGTACTTTTATTATATTCCGAACAATCAGTTGTAATTAAATAAAAATAAGTTCTTATTAATGTGAAATTAAAAAAAAAAGTCAATAACAACTTAAAATTTATTAAAATCGATCCTGAAATGTTAGTATACTAGTCATTACACGTGTTTGAAAGTACTATATAATAAACAAAAAAATTTTAAATAATTGTCCAAATCCAAAAGGAATGATCTAAAAATATTCATACAATTTTTTTTTCAAAATGGCTCGAAATATATTGTTGATCATATCCTCCATATTAATGAAACTGTCATAAAAATATATAAAAACTCTTAAAAATAACACCATATATATAAATACCTCTGAAAAAAAAATTAATATAACCTATTGAATTTACAATTTTTAAGTAATAAATAAATCTTACTCATTTATAAAACTCACGAATTTATCACATCTACTACCACTCAATCCAATAACACAACATAATTATAAACTCAACCACCATATTTTCAATCTACCATATTTCTACGTAATAAATAAATAAAATTAACAAAATACAATTAAATTAACAATCTTTAAACGATAAATAAAATCAATAAAATTTTACTCATTTATAAAACTCATGAATTTATCACCATTCAACCCCAAATGACACAATATAATTATAAATTTAATCACCAAATGTCCAACCTTCCACATATAAATATAAACAGAAACAAACCCCTCAC